CCACATCAAACRGCTTTGGACATTGGATCTGAACTCTTCACCTGCCAGGAGATGATTCCATCATCATCCCTCCAGTTTCAAAGCCAAAGGGAAGCTGCCTTGTGCTTGATCCAGGCCTTTTATCCCTTCAAGAGATGACAAGGACAAGAAGGATCCTTCCCTGCTGGGATCACTGCTGAGCTTTATAACCAGGCTCAAAACTGACACAGCAGAGCACAGGGATCTGCTCTCTGCTCTGCAAGCTCTCACTGTTTTCTGGGAACTCATCACCCACAGCCCTGACAATGCACCGACACTTTTCTGTGTGCTCCCAGACAATTGCTCAGTCTGACAGCAGTGTCACCTCTTGCCATTAACTCCCATGGGAAGAGGAAGAGGCAGGGAAATGTTTAGGTTAGACCCCAACCTGTAGCTGACTTTAACTGCTCTGCCAGATGCAGACTCCATGGAATTCTTTTTCTGCGTATGACACCTCATCATAAAMTATCTCCCCTTGCCACTGGGGTCTCATTTGCTGAAAAAGAGAAGAAGAGGCTTGCATTGAAGCAAAACTCTAATTCCAGAAGGACTTCGCCAAAACTTTTGGGTTTTACAGACAGGCGACTTTGGATGAAGAAACACAGTACCAGAGTGACTCCACTTCTACAGACACAACTACTTTATAGGGACTGGACGTCACAATAATTCAATAAGTTGAAGAAATAGGATGGGTACAAGGAGCTGAAGTGTGTTTGCTCATTTTGAGCTGAGAGTGTTTTCCCTTCTCAGTATGATGTGTGATTGCTGAGTTAGATACCTGGCTCTGCAGTGGGGTGTCAGCTTGGGCAGTTATCTATCTTTGTAGCCTGTTTTGGATGAACATGCCACTTTCAGCCTGGCCACCCAACCCCCTGACCATGTCCCCCTTTACTGACCGCCAGAACGGGTTATCTAAAGGTGTCATGAGCTCAGTGGTGTTCCCACRGCTCAGCTGGGTTTGTAGAAATGCCATTGTGCCTGATCATGGCAAATATGAGCCATGGRGAAAATGAAATACACAAGGGGCCAGCTCTGCTCTCTGTGCCCAGCCTGCTGTGGTAYTGGAAATCTTGGTGACCTGGGAGTAGGGACACAAAGGAGAAACTGGGTGTGTAACTACTCACAGTCTGCTGTTTTCTACCGTGTGTTTCCCAGTCTTGCTGTTTCTGAAAACCTGGAKGCTTTCTTGAGTCTCTGAGAGTATTTTATCTGTTCTCAATAAAGTAATCTGATCACCCCCAATGGCAGACTGTTGACCCTAAACACTCATTTTATGATGTTTTCATCCAAGGAAATTGMATGCAAGGGATAGGAAGTTAAGCAGAAGGTTCAGAGGTGTTTTTCTGCTGTGCACCTACACACAGCACTCCAGATTGCTAAAGTGCTCTCACATAAGTAGTCAGACCTGTTGGGGTGGTGCTGGTGGTTCTGATAACACCCGACTTTGGGCAGTGCAGGTGCTGGTTGCAAATGCTCCAGCCTGTTGCTATTGCAAACTACAGAATAAATAATGTGGAGATGACCTCTCCAGGTCTCTAGTCCAATCTCCTGATTCAAGCAGGCCCTCTCAACCAGGTGGCTTAAGATTGTGAGCAGAAGGATTGTGAATATCTTGTAGAGTGTTGTTCCTAAAAATTCTATGTGTTCCTATTCTAGTATTCCTCATGGGAAATAAATTCTTGCTAGTATTTAATAAAAATTTTGCATATATACAAGATTCCCATTCTAGCACATTATTATTTATATATATATTTTTTTTTCTTACTGGTGCATGGCACAGTCTAAAGGCAAAGTTTGTSAGGGGAAAACAAATGTTTCTTTCCCTCCTCATGAGTCCAAACAATTTTCAGAGTTAAAATCTCCTTTTCTTCTTCTGACTACTTTTTTAAAGGATATCCTTGCTTCTCTRTGTAATAGTGGAAGAAGTGCCCATTTACAGACATCTGCAGATTCTGGATATCCAAAATATTTGAAAGGAGCTGGCATATAAGAAAGGACTTCCAGGAAAGCCAGGCCCTTCCAGGGCAGCAGTCTGGGGCTTGCTGCAATATCCCACAGGATCTACAGTGACATCTGATATTTCTAGACAAGTTAAAGACCTCAGTTCCAGCCCTATTCTCTGCTCCAAAGTGCTTCTTAGTAGTGTTTTTCACTGGGGAATCTGGAACAAACTAGCTTATGTAGGAACAATTTTAAGTCAACTCTAAACCCTTTTGCACCTAATGTCAGGAAGAAGTATTCAGAACTGCTTAAAAGRTAAAATGCAGTACATGTACCAGATTCTTGCATAATTCCTCACCAACTGACAGAAAAAGCACTTTAAAGGGTTAATTTTTTCCCCCTCAATATAAAGATGAGACTCTGTCACAGAGAGAAGGTTGTTTGGTTTGGTTTTTTTTTTTTTTTTTGGTGAGGTTATCTAGCTAAGAATTCCCTGTCCAGAAACCTATGCTACTTCTATAGAAGTTTAGGGTTTAGAAAATGCAGCAGTTGCTAGGTGGCCAGCTCAAAAATTGCAAATTTAAGATAGAAGCCCATGCAAYCCTACACACGGCAATGAGTGCCACAGCTTCATCTGTGAGTCAGCTGCCCACAGAATAACATTTCTACCAAACTATATACCGTGGAGTCTCCTTCATCAAACACACTCTGAGTCAATGATCAGGAAAAAGCAAGTTAACTTTGCCAAGTGAATGAGATTGAGCGTGTATCAATGACTCCAAGTTGAAAAGAAACAGCTCGTAACAGAACGTTCATGCACACAAATGATAACGATGAATAAAAAGCTTTCCTATACCCCCTGAGAACAAAGTGAGATTCAAAAGAAAACTAATGCTGCCGCCTAGAGAGCAAGGTGGAAAGCTACAAATCCAACCTCTTCGTTCTGACAGTCTGCCACATTATTCAGATCTTGACTCTCCCTTCTGCTCTCGCTTATGGTCCTGTGTCACTCAGGGCAGACTTCTCTCTCTTGCTGTAGATAGCAATGTAGTGTTAGCCAGTACTAACCAGTTACATTTCTGGTTGAGAAAGCCTTCATACCCTTCAAWAGGTGCCTGAAGCAAGGGGCTGAGCGCTTCCAAACTGCCCATAGCTAAGCTGGGAGCTGGAGCCCAGCTGTCCCAGAAAAACACATACACTGTGCCTGCTGAGCAGCAGTACGTGGAGTTCAGGGAACTTTCTTTAACGTGTTTCCTGGGCAATTTTAAAAGCAATTAAAATCCCACAAGAGGGAGAGTTGAAGATTTAATCAGTTTAAAAAAGCTCTTCTTGTAACTCGACATGGGAAAAAAAMCTTTCATTTCTACATTGCATCAGCAAAAGCCAGCAAGGCATCTTCTGACCTTCTTTTCATGTATATGGATGGCTGCACACTCTCCTTCCAGTGAGATCAGGACTGTGCTGGTCCTGTGAAGTTAGAAAATGCCATAAAATCCTAATCAATCAAAATTTTGTCCAACCACCTGAGCTCAGACAGAAAATAGATCCATTTTTGATTCACAGTCATGCCATTCAGCTAGCATAACTCCTTGTTAGCCTCACACACGTAATAAACAAGGTTTTTGATGCCTGAAGATTGCAGTAACATCCTTCTATGACACTGTATTACGATTTATGCTGTGGACTTGATATTATTATGTGTTTATATTATGTTATTATAAGTTATTATGTTGTGGTGCTGTGTCTGGGGAAGTTTAGGTTGGATATTAGGAAAAGATTGTTCAGAGGGCAGCTGGACACTGAAACAGGCCCCCTAGGAAGCACAAAGATGATCTGAGTTCAAGAAGTGTTTGGATAACACTCTTAACATTATCCTAAATGTAATATACCGTTTTAACTTAAAACAAAAAATTAAATCCATCATATTGAAATTCACCATCTTTTTGAGCTCTGAAGCTTCATAAACACCCAGCTGGGGTATATTACTGTTTGGGGTGTTTTTTTGCTTCCAGCCCAGTTGTGCCACACATGACATTCCTCTGTGATTAGTGTTTACTCAAAGAAAATGAAAGCAAGCATGTGCTGGAAAGTAAGGATAGTTTTGACGCTTTAAGGAACTGTAAGGCAAAARCATTGTTGTTTTCAAACCCGAAGTCACTGACCTGAGAATGTTCCTCAGGCATGAAATGTGCYGTACATCTCTGCCCAGCAAAGCCTGACAAAGCCATTGTCTGGGGCCAGGGRTAAGGCAGGTATTGCTTGGCGTGGATCAAAGGTAGAAGCCACCTGTGTAACCCAAGCACTGCAGGAGAGCCCAAAGAGAGTTAATTTCAATCAACCTGCAAGAAGCAGGTGTGCAGCGGAACAGAAAGGAACAAACCCAAGAAATGTGCCCATATYTATGACAAGTGCAAGGAGAGAACCAGACCCCAGTGCTTGCACACCCTCCCTGTGGGAAGGCTCACCAGAACCACTCTGGAGTGCACCCCTWCACAGGAGTCTTGAGATTTTCAATCTTGCTGTGATGTTTGCCACAGAAGTGGCTCTTGGGTGCCAGCCGGRCTGGTGACATCTTTGCCCCAGGGAGCAGAGCCCAGAGGGACAGGGACCTGGAGGGCAGTGCAGGCCCCCTGCCCATGTCTCCAGCATTGTAAAACAGCCCTTACTTACAGCAAGAGCAGAGGGTGCCCAAGTCACTGCCCTCCACCAGCAGGACCTGCAGCTAGGGAGCCAGGGGCAGAAGCTTGGTGCATATCACCACGTCTGGCMGCCACCACAGGAAACCCCTTCAGTGGCTCCCTAGGGATCACTGGCACCTTTGGGCTCAGAACATCCCAGAAAAAAAAGAGCACTGCCTTCAACAGAGATGCTGGGACCTCCTTGATCCCAGGTGRGTCTGTGGGAATGGCATCTGGTACCCATTCCCTTCCTTCCTTGGCACACTCAATCCCTTCTCTGGACAACTGATTACTGCTGTAGAGTCAGGACATCTCTTTCTTATGATCCATCTTTCATAGGAAAATAAGTCAGGATTCAAKATATGACCATACTGTGGATATGTTTATAAACACTGGTTTTAATACAGTAACAGTACTTTGAATATGCAAACTTTTTTATTAAGACAGGCTACATAGAAGGTACATTTAAGGCATTTCCATTCTGACTGTAGGTGACCCTCTCATTTTCTTGAAAAGTGGCCATCTGTCATATCAGCAAGTTCCCATTTGGTGAATTTCTACATTCTTGTGGCTTTCACTGCAAACAGAAGAAAAATATATTAGAAGAGGAACACTACACTTGAATTTTACAGACACATTTTATAAAGTGGAGTCTCCCATGTCCAATGTGTTCAATTAAATGCAGTGATGCATTAACTGCATCACTTACTGTAAGCATTACCACAAAGTAACCATGATGCAAAAAATTATGAGTCACGTACACAGAGTAACTTGCCTTGTTACCTATAAAAACCTGATAAAACCATCTGCAAATTAGAGAACTGTCAAACCACGTGACAAGTCTCACCATGAGGGCTAACATGTCCATTACAAAGCACTAACACAAGTTAAACTTTGCAGTCTGACATGCCAACCACTTCTAATGCTTACAAAATCTCCACCTTTCACATGGGAATTCAGTGGGAAGGGTGTGCTTTCTGATGCATCTCTGCATTTTGAATGTGTGGTTCTCTGAATGCTGGAATCTTCTTAAAGGAAATTTTAGCCAAGTATCCCTTAGTCTGTGAACACTGGTTGGTTTTTTTTGAAGTCCTATACATGGTATTTTGGGGTGCTCCATTTACAAATCTCAGTTTATCAGGCAAGTGAAGATAGAAAAAGAAAGTAACAGAATGCAGATTGTCCTAGATCAGCAGTTTGTTTCCTTATCTTAGAATCAAGTTGGTTTACTCCTTATGAAATTCAAGAGACTTAYATTTATCCAAAAGCAGGATTAATCTATTTATGTACCAATAGTTTTATCTTTTTTAAAAAGAAGGCAGTAGAGTAGATTGGGGATATAAAAGACAAAATCAAGGCCAGAGGGCATAAAACACCAGTAAAGATGTAAGGAACAGTTCTGTCTGAAGGACAAGCCTTACACTAAACCCTGCAGAGGCAACCTCTTCAGCAGTGGATTCACACAGGGCTCTCCAGGAGCCCACACAGTCTGAATGGCTAAAGGAGCTCATGGACAGTACTATCTTGGCCATCAGGGAATTACAACTCTCTCAAAAAAGTCGCTTCATGGATTAAATACAGGTTAGAACAAACCTGCAATTTGGCTGTTGAGAATCACTCCAAGTTAATTGAGAAGCGACTGTTTTATAATTTAGTACTGGATGTGTCCATGTATCTGTTTCTGTATCACCACAGTACACTATTTCAACAACTGGTCATGCAGCTTGCTAAACAGGGCAGAAAAATCTCTTTTTCTTGCCCTCCTAAGGAGTGTGACAGACTGTACCTTAGATTACTTGGAGTGGAATGACCATTGCTTAGGACTATGGACTGTTTTTCAAAGCTGAAATTCTTCCAGTAAAGCAAAGTGTTTTATCTGTGTTGTGTTCATGCCAAGTCAAACAACTTAGAACAACTACTCCAGACTGAACTAGAAGACCCCCAAACATGACAGCTGCTGAACTATAAAAGCAATCAGGAGAGAATCTGACCATTCTGTGCCTCTTCAGACCAAAATACATGTTTCAGAGCATGTAACAAGGCAGCAAAAAAAGATCGTTAAGACAAATTTCTATCTTGTGTGTATAATTGGATTTAATCCCATGTATCACACAAAACATGTACTTTGCATCTTACTCTAAAAAGACATAAGCACCATCACTAATTACTTAAGAAACTTCTTAAAGAGTTGAAATAAGCAGCAGATTTGACTGGAGAACCCTTTGTTCTGTGCGCAATGCTATATTCAGGAATCTGCCATGCATTCATCTGGAACTGAGTGATCATGCCTTAAAAAATAAACATCCTAGAAATGTAAGGCTGGATCTCAAAGCCCATCCTCCTGCTCTGAAAGGACACTGCTTAGGTCATGAGATGCCCTCCTGCCTGTATCTCCACAATATGGTTTTACACCCTCTATGGCTGATACTTAGCACTTCTCTGTCTTCTCTTTGTTGTACTGATTTTACTCAATTTCTCCAAATTCCTGGGAATTTTGATAATATCCTGTACATTATCCAGATCATCATATCCATGCCATTTTGAAGTTTTTATTACATAAAATAGCTCTTTTCAATGTAAAATGCCGATCACTGCTTTTGAACCACAGCATTTCAAACTCTCATAACTTCACCTTTAACAATTTCAGCTGAGTAGATATTTGTCTGCTTATGTGAATGTCAAGTGGAGATAATGTAAAATGCCTTATTAATGTCATGCAGCAATACTTCCATTTCCCCCTACTCTGTTTGGCCAGTTATCGTGCCAAAAAACTAAATCTCATGGATTTGACCAGATTATTTCTGGCAAATCTCTATCTGCTTTGCTTGCTTTCTTCTTTACCTCTGGCTATGTACAAAGCCAATCACGTAATAACTTCAGCATCATTCTAGGCAGGGAATGATGGGTAGATTCCTACATAACATGTCAGAACCTCTTTTCTTCCCTTTTAACAGATTTTACTGTGTGTGAATTTTGGTCCTCTTTTATCTTTTTCCAAACTGGAGGTTTACTAATTTTTTTTTTTTGCAATTTGTGTTTGCTTGGGCAGATAGTGCTGTGCTCTGTTGAAAGTGTTACCAAATTCTGCAGATCTGCGTAACACTTCTTCAGCACTTTCTTTACTGTATTACTTTGAATGTTCTTTGACACTTTCCTTATTATGGCCTATGTTCCCTCTGTCTTGGTAATTAGAATTTTGTAAATCATCTGGTCAGCATTAATCTTTCCTCTGAAACACATTTCAGCCATCCCTTTACTGACATCTGTTCACCATTTTGTAAATTCCCCTCACTGCTATTCTGTTACTCACTTCTACCCTCTGCTGGTAACAGAAACCTTTTATTTCATTAACATAAATTGCCTTTTTATCATCAAAATTCTACTCACAACAGTTCCTCCCAGTTTGTACTGAGAGATTGCTCTACAAAGGTTTCAATTCAGTTGCAATGTGGAATTATAATGCTCATGATATACTGATTCTTTGTCTTTTTAAATTGTTTTTAAAAATTATTGAATTATTAAAGAATAAAATACCCTCTCTCAAATAGCAGGCAGTCTTTCTCTTGATTTTTAGACAACCTGAAGGCAAAATAGCATTTTCTCCTAACATTTAGCATTCTTACTCTTCTCTGTGAAAGAAAGTACAGGAGATTGGATCTTGAACCTAAATATTTTGCATTTGAAGCTGCATTTTGGGTGGGACCTTTCATGTTTTCTGATGGAGAGTGTGGAAGGGTCTAGCATTATATTTAATGGTAGCATGGCATTGTATGAATGTGAGAGGCAACCTCTTCTAAGATGCTCCCCCTCAGGAATCACTAACACAAATATTCTGTACATCTGCATGGACTGGACTGGACTGTATCCAATCGATTTACAGGTATCACGATAAAATCTGTCTCAAGGGATTCATGGCTGAGAGGRCACTGCTGAAACTGCAGTTCAACGGTGTAAATGATCCAAAGCCAATAAATGATCTATCAGGTACCTGGGATGTCAGGGGGAATATTCTGCCTGCATATAGGGAAGGGTAGAATTGACTACCTGTTAGAAAGGCAGAGCACACACTCGTTTCCATAGGTCTCTCCRTCAGTGCCACAAACGGGATGGTAATCCCTTGGACATGTATACGCACCATACTTGGAGCAGTCAGGCTAAGGAAGACATGCACAAAACAAGTAGAAGTTACAGCATTTATACAGGTTTCTGCTCACTTCTGAAGAATACTGGCACGCACTGAAAAAAGGCGTCCAACAGGAGCTGGCACAACATTTTAATGTGTCACATGATCTTCCATGCTCTTATGAGAATTTATCACTTGAGCTTTGGCTCCTACTACCTGGCACGGCCTAGCTGTGGTGCCAGGACATACGTGTGCCACCAAAGCAGCCCTTTCGAGCGTCAGTGGGACACACGGACAGCGAGTRCCCGTGAAGGGCAAGGCAGACGGAGATGGGAAGAGACGGGAATCGCCAGGGCTGGTGTGCTGCGGAGCCAGCAGCCTGCCGGGCCCGTCGGCTGTGGGGAAAGACCACCGGTTAGCCGCGGGGCCAGGGCGGGCACAGACCCGCAGCGTGGGGCCCGTGGCTGTGGGGAAGGGGCTGCCGGCAGCAGCGACAGTGGGGAAGGGACAGGCGACACTCACCGCGTAGCTGGCCATGGCGCCGGGACACGACAGGAGCCCTGTGGAGAGCAAGCGRCGTTAACGACGCCTGGTCCCGCACGGATCGCCCCGACCTCCGCGGGACCGGCCCTGGCTGTTACCGACCCGACACTGCCCCGTCCCGGCACCCCCTGACAGTCTCTGTCCGGTCCTGGGACACCCTGACCAGCCACTGTCCGATCCCAATATCCCCCGACCGACCGCAGTCCCGGCCCAGCTGCCTCGGGAACCATCCTGTGCCGGTTCCCCGCCCTGCCTCAGAGGGGATTCCGCCTCCACGCCCCTCAGCCTGCCGGGGCACGGTGCCGGCTCCCTGGACGCTTTTCCCTGCGACAGGACCGGCCCGTCTCCCACCTCCCCGGCCCCGGCTCCCCTCCCGTCCCCGAAGCGCCAATGCCCCGGCGCGGTGCGCGGTACCGGCGAGGAGCACGGGTAGCAGCAGGAGCGCCAGCGGCCGTGCCATGTCGCCAACTGAGCGGCAGCGGGGACAGCGACAGCGACAGCGACAGCAACGGCTCCGCAGCGTGAGGGCCAACGGCGGGGCGCGGGGCGGGGCACGGGGCTGGCACGGGCCGCAGCGGGCGGGAACGGCATCGCCCTCAGGGCATGCCACCGGGGGACACGCGGATAGCACGGCTGGAGCCTCCCCACGAACACGCTGATGGGAGGGAAAACTTTCCCGTCAGAGCTGCGCGAGTGGACAGCGCAGTTAATGGTGGGGGGCGGATCTGCAGTTTCTGGGTTCCTCAGGTTTCCCTGCTTGGCTTCAGCTCGTCAGGGCTGTGCTTACATGGAAAATGCCTTGGGCGATGCAGAGAGGTTGGAAATGTGCACGCAGTGCCGTGTGGCTGTTAAGGTCATAGCCCTCACCTCATAAAGTGACATGAGAGGTTTCTGAGCTTCTGCTGAGCTGTGAGGGTGTTCCTGACAAGAGAAAAATTCATACAGTCCCAGCAATAAAGCCAACTGACCTGTCTCCAAAGGCAGCAGGGGCTGGAAAGCATTGGCATGATGTCCTGCCAGCATGGCTGGGTGTCTCGGCAGCACTCCTTCCCCTTTCCGAAGAGTATCTCAYCTGTTGGTCAGTGGTCAGCTTTGCAGACCCCAGGATCTGGCTCTGCTAATGATTTCATGCAGTTTCCTGAAATCTAGGGTATGAAATTCTTGTAAAATGGCCTGTGCTCCTGTGTATGAGCTGGGGTTAAGCCTGTCAAGTGTTTTGATATTGTCCCTGTCGGTACATACACGGGCATCACACACATGTTTCTTGTCTCTAAGTCCTTTCAAATACCGTTTTCTTCTGTGTGTTTCTGGYAGCATGTCCTGCCCACATGGCATCATTGGGAGGTTATTTTGTCATCTGCTTAGTATGTTTGAATTCATCCAAGTATCCCCTGCGAATTGATTGCAGTTTCAGATTTTCATTCAGAGCACGCCTTTGAGTTTACTACCCAACACAAGGGATGTTTCATGCAAAAGCCTCTGGCTTGGCTATTTTAAGCAAGACACCTCATCAGAATGTGTTTTTGGCTGYTGAACCATGCAGAGGGTTATTTCTCTCTGCATGGTTATTTCTCTCTAGCTTTCCCAACTTTTTACCCCAGCTTTGTCACCCTTTGAGATGCGGGTGTGTTTCTGTTTCCTTGTTATTGGTGGGATGGTTGCTGGGTTTGCCATCCTTGGGGGAAGGATCGCCAGGGGGATGAACACTGGAGAGTTATTCTGGGGTGRGTTCCTTGATTTTTCAAAGAAACCGTGCCAGCTGAATGTGAAGAAAGCAAAAGCAAGGGTAGGAGTTCTTTCTTAGATTGTGAATTTCATAAGTTCATAAGTTCCTGACTGTTTCACAGTAAAATGCACAGCTCTTGCGCAGAGCTCAGTGCTCCAGAGGAGCTTTCTCCTGGACAGCTCCTGCTCAGCATGGGTGTGTACTGTCATCACATCACCTAACAGAATAGCTGCCCCTAACAAACATTCTCTACCCTAATGTATTTTCCAACAAGTTAGAATTCCATGCCCATCGATGTGTTGCAGTTGATCCCAGACAAATGGTGTGAATGGGACCATTTATTTTAACATCACTGCACCTGCCTTTCTATGACAGTGATATGAACTCAGTCACAGACATGTGTTCTGCCCCAGATGCTTCCCCTTGATGTTGCAGAGAAAATAGGGAAAAGTAATCTGAAGGTTCTCTATTAACTCTCAATGTGACTATCACGTTTGAAACTGGTGCCAGTTTCCTCAGTTCTGAAAGCATTTTGTTTCTCTTATATTTTTCTACTGAGAGTACTTAATTTTGCCTTATTTGAGTAAAATTTTAGACACAAGTCTTTAGAGAAGGAAAAATTACAGAAATGAGATCTTAAACAGAAGAAAAGATAACTTACAGATTTTTTTCTTCTGGCAAGATTGAGTGTCTGTTACAAGACACTATTTTTCTTTTGTGAATTATTAAGAACTGGAGGCAAGAAAGAGCATAATTATGCAGAGGGCTTCTTAACAGCTTTTGTATCCTGTTAACACATTTCTGATATGAATGCTGAGTCACTGGAAAGGAAAATTGCAGAAYTATTTGCATATCTCCTAGAAGTTATCTTCTTGTTAACATCAGGTAGCTGATTAACAAACAGGGGAGATAATAATGATCCTAGCACACAGGCTGTGGGGAACAATGCGTAATTAGAAGTTACATCCCTGCAGAGAAGGTCTGTTTCTGCCTTATGCTTGGTGGAATAACCCTGTGTGCTTGGGAGCTAAAATTTATTTGAACTTCAGTCAAACWCTTCTGGTGCTCCAGGGCCTTGCTGCTGCTCTGGTGAGTGCTGGCCAGGTGTTTCTGGGATGTACCTGCTGCAAAGATTGGCATGGATCGTGACCCCCTTCAGTGGGGTCTTGTGAGAGTGGAGTAGAGGGGGAAAATCACCTCCCTCCACCTGCTGGTCATTCTCTTTTGATGCAGCCCAGGATATGGTTGGCTTTCTGGGCTGTAAGTGCACACTGACAACACATGTCCAGCTTTTCACACTCCAAGTCCTTCTCCAGAGGGCTGCACTCTGTATCCATTCATCAGTATCTGAAGTTCATTTTTAAGTAACTGAGCMAATTTCGTGAAAATCTGAACTTGCCCCAAACTCCTGGTGTTTCTKGGAAAGAAAATATGTTGAAGATTTGTGGCCTCTGACATCTTCGTCCTTGAAAATTTCCAGGACTCAGGTTATAATTTTGCTGATCTGCTGTTGGCAGTAGACCTGTTCCAAGTGTGAGGGGGCAGTTAGAAACCCAGAGATCACTTCCAGCCACCCTTCCCAGGGCTTATGTGGCAAGGCAGGTTGGGAATGAGTTATGAGACAGCATAAAATTAGTTCACAATCTCAAAGGAAAGCTAGCTATCACCTCCCCTGCTTAAAACAGGTATTGGGAGARGTCCAGGTACCAGAAAGATTGAGACTAAGGCACTGGATTGCCTGCTACATTAAACTCTAGGATTCAGCAGTGTGGCATGAAATATCCTCTTAGACAGGCTATGGTGGATGCTGAAGGTTTAAAATTGGAAGAAAGAAAATAGAATTGCAAGGCAAKAAACCATTGGTGGCCTCAAGAGCATGAAAAATCCCACTGGAACATGTTTCTTCAGGCTGCTGCAGGCAGGAAGGTGACAAAGGGGAAATCTGGGCATGGATTTGTTCCAGTTTTCTCTTGGGCATYGTTGATGGGCTCTTGGAGGGCAGAGGCTGGTGGAGGGATGCTGTGGTCATTCATAGCCTGCAGCCAATGTCCTCTTGCAGCCCGGTCAGTTGCGGGTGGATTTTAAACCCGCTGTAGCAGCAGGACAGTGCAGCTGAAGGGCCTGCGCTGCTGCAGGTGGGCGAGAAGGGCACAGAGTTTGGGCACAAGGCTTGGGCACATCCCAGCTGCACTTGTGCCATGCACKTGTGGGTCTCCTGCCATAAGAACAGGAGTTTGTCTTTCCACCTGAATAACTGCAGGGGTAAAACTGACCAACACAGCACAGGACAATCAAAAATGCTTCTGAGCTGCTCTTTGGCATGCCGGCCCGGGATGGCACTGGTGAAAGCCTCTTTCCTGAGGCACTGGGGGGGCTCCTGCCTCTGGTGAGACTGGAATGCCCTAGAAATGGTTTGGCACTTGCCCACTGTCTGATTCTTCCATCCTGAACCTGCACAGCAGCAATGCAGAGATGGACAGAGGAGGAAGAGCTGATTTTCCTTATGTTTTAGTCTCCCTGACAAAGATTCCTGTGGGGAAGAAGTCAGCAGCACTGAGCAGAGCAATAGACTTTTGGTGTAAGTCTGGGTTTGTTGTGTGTGGGGAATTTGTTCCAGTTGACAAGCTTCATCCCTGGCCAGGTCCTGAGTGCTGAGCTGTGGCATCACCTCTAATTTTGGTAGACTCCTCCAGGCTGTTTTGATAGARGCTGGGTTCAGAGGTTCATAGGAAGATGTGGAGGAAGTTCCTCRTCTCATACACTCCCTCACCATCCTGTCAGTGGCATTCCCACCTCCACATCACTGAGAGATTGCTCTGGGGGTCCTATCTGTCACACACAGCCCSTGAATCATTCCCTGCAGTTGTGCTCCTACGTTTGCAATCCCACGTAGTCCCCAAGACAGGATCCAGGCCTCAGGGATTCAATTATGTACACTCCACTCAGTCTTTCCTTCCTTGATCCCTCTGTGCCCATTCATTTTGCTCCATCGTCTSCTGTTCTCTGCTGTGTCAGTCACAGATGGGCAATTTATCCTCTCCCGTTTCCCACATGAATCCCATCTATCACCTGCCTGTCTTTGAAATTAATTTACTGGCTGGCCAGCTGCCCACTTTGTGTCCCTGGCTCCTTTCCATCCGTGTGTCACACGGGGGTGCTCCCTGAAGTGGGGTGGCTGCGGGTGCTGCAGCATTCTGTGCCCTAAATAAGATTGCTTCCCTGTGGGCAGTGTTTTGGGATGGGAGCGCTGCTCATTGTGTGGGACAGTGGCGAAAGGGAGCGCTGCTTATTGTGTGGGACAGTGGGGAAAGGGAGCGCTGCTTATTGTGTGGGACAGTGTGGAAAGGGCTGCCGGGAGGCACCCACATACTCCTGGGTCTGCTGGTGCCGGCAGTCACTGTCACAGCCCAAAGCAGCAGCCTTCTGCCTGGCAGAGAGATGTGTGTGTGTTGCTGCGATGCTCGGACTTGAGCAAGGGCTTTAGCAGTCCCTGGAGCCTGCAGACAGCTCCTGAAGGCTGTCCTGACGGGCAGAAATCAACATAATTTTCTTCTTTCTCTCTCCTCCARAAGTTACTCTCTGCTGTTGATTTCAGCTCAGTTGAGTACATCTGTCTCCTTGATCTGTCGTGGGCAGGTTCTCAGGCTTTGGCTTCTGCTGCCTGTCTGTGTGCTGGTTCAAATGACTCGTGGCAGGGCTGGGACACCCTGCTTAAGGGGACATGCACTTTGTCTTAGTGATTTCCTGGGATCATACCCCCTTTGGAGGGAGGTGGTTGGTCCCAGTGKCATTTCTTGTGTCAAAAGTTTT